CCAGCACGATGAGCGCCCCGCGCCGGCCCGCCATCGCCTCGTTGTCGCCGCCCGCCAGGACTCCAAAATGCCGCGCGTCGTCCGGAGCTTTCATTGGCTGACGTCAGCCGCGCGCGCTAGGATTGGCTGCTATTTTCCATCGTTGGTCGGATTGGCTAGAACTGACAAGGGGAGCGGCAGCAAGAACGGCTGTTCGCACCGCCTTTTCCGGCGGAGTCCCCGCCTTCTAAGCCGGAAGCCGAGTGCGGGACTTAGTTCTCGGTCGCGCCTGGAGCTAGGCTGCGGCGCGTGGGCTAGAGGCCCAGGCCCGGGAGGGCTAGTGGCGCGTCCGCGACCAGGTGCGGCGGAAGGGCGGCACCGGCCGCAGGCAGGTCTCGCGAGCAGGCCGGGCATTGTAACGCTCGCCCGGTCGGTGACCAGCAGCGCGGGGTGGGGCTGTCTGCACAGGGCCCACGCGACAGCCTAGTAAACACGGGCCTGCCAAGCTCTGAGACTTCCATTTGCAAAGACTGCGTGTGCACACCCACAGGCAGAAAGGAGAGCAGGGCGGTCGTTTCGTCTGTGACATGTGGCCACCGACCAGGAGAGGTCCCTGTCGTGGGGAGGCGACACGTCTGGTCTGAGAGCAGCCCCGGTATCTAGAGAGCGTCCAGTGATGTTTGCTGCTCTTGTCTCAGGGACATCGGGCTGCGGCGGCATCTGCCAGGTGACACTGCGCACTTGGGGGTGCCGCCTTCCTCGCCTCACTCGCGCACTTTCCCCACATGAGGGGTCCGCCCTCTGACCTGTCTAAACCCTAAAACCCCGAAGGCCCGTCCCCGAATCCATCACGTTGTGGGGACACAGACATTCAGACCGGAGCAAGCCAGGAATTTCTGTTTTCCAGAATTTCTGTGTCGTGCTGGCTTAGGTTGCCCTTAGAGGCACTGGTACAAACTTTGGAGGCCACTGTTTTGGGGAGATGGATGCAGCAGAAATGCAGATGTGGAATTCCGGGCTGCTCTCTAGTGAGCTGTTAGGAACCACCTGCCTCGCTGCTGCAGACCCAGAGGTCGGTAAGTCAGGGAGGGCCCTTAGGGTTGAGCAGTGGCTGGGCTGAGGCCCTTGGGGCCATTTCCGACCTTTCCTCTCCCTCCCTGCCCCCCTCCCCCCTTCTCTCGGTGGTTTCGGAAGCCCAATGGTAATATTACCCAAGATGCCTACAGTGAGTTTTGGAAGGGTGATAGATTATATTGTTTCCAATTATTTGCTTCCTTCCTTGATGTTGAGCTTGGCCACGTGACTTCCAAACACTGCTGTAAAGTAATCACAGCTGACAGCACAGGCAGAAGCTTTAAAAGCAGTTTGGCTCACCCATCCCCCTCTTGACCCCCAGGTGAGAGCAGCTTGCGTGCAACTAGGGCTGCTTTTTCACTCTGATTCCTGGAATAAGACATGGCCACAGCCAAGCTACAGCCACTGCAGCTGATAGGTAGCTCCAGTAAGAAAAACTGAGGTAACTCAAGTCACTGAGACTTTGGGGTTATTACTGTAGCAGGACCCAATGAAAGCTCATGACAGAATGACTGTTGCTTAATACCGCCTTACTTAGGTAAGCAATATCCTGCTGTCTCATTGATGTCTTCTAAAATGTCCATCTCCTGCCCTAGCAGGTTTGGCTCAGTGGATAGAGCCTCAGCCTGGGGACCAAAGGGTCCCAGATAAGATTCTGATCAAGGTCAAGGACATGTACCTCGATTACAGGCTCCTCTCCCACCCAGGCCCTGGTCAGTCCTGCAGGAGCCAACCTGGTCAGTCCTGCAGGAGCCAACCAATCGATGTGTTTCTCTCATATCGATATTTGTCTTTCCCTCTCCCACTCTCTCTTAAAAAAAAAATCAATGGAAAAATATCCTTGGGTGAGGATTAACAAAAAATAAAAATAAATAAATAAAATATCCCTTAAAAAAATAAAATGTCCATCTCCTTGCCTTCAAAAGAGGAAGGGATTCGAGTATAGTACAGAAGAGAACCCTCCTGGCATTGGATAAGTCTCAGTGCTGTAGGCAGTTAGACATGACAGCAAGGAAGATGGGCCAGGTATAGGTCATCAGGGTGGAAAGCCCCAGGTGCCCAGCAATGGACAATCAATTGTAGGGAGGGACCTTGCCCCCAGGGTGACTTTTCCTCCCCTAGCACATCACTGGTCAAGAGGTTTGGGCCCCCTGACCTTTCTTCTCTAGAGATAACATCTAGGCCTGTTGTATTTTAGCTCCAGGCCCAGGTAAGCAGTAAAACCAGCCAGGCATGGAATAAAGACCCCCTGTCCTGGTGCCAACCAGTCAATCAGTGGAGACCACAACCCTGAAAGGATGCACCTGGAAAACTGCTGAATATTCTATTAAGATCTTTCCCTGGGACCTCCCCTAAAATCTCACATTACCATTCCTCACTTCCAAGCTCCAAGGGCCCTTCCTTTACCTCCATAACTTGTTTCCTAAGCCTATTTCTTCTAGGACTTACTTTTTCTACCTCTGTAATTTACCAAATAAATGTTCTCTTACAGTTTGGGTCTTGCTCTGAATTCTTTCCTTGCCAGAGCCCAAGTACCAAGGTTGCTGAACCCAGGTTTGGTCTGACCCCACTGGTCAGACACCTGGTGCTATTCCCACCGCCTACTACACGTGGACAGCCTTGTACCACATCTGTAGGACCAGCTCACCAGGCAGATGGGAACCTTTGTGAATACACAGCTGTCCTGGTCACCCATGAACATAGAGGGGACTTGGCTGATGAGGCTTTGCATACTGAGTAGGGATGGGGTGCCCTTTTCATTGCAGAAATTGCTAAGCCAGCACAAGTAGTTTGTTACTAAGCAACAACAAGTGAAGGAGCACAACATGAGAAGTGGCATGTGCTCCTTCAACTTTGCTTCCACCTCTCCAACATGTCATGCCTTTTTTAAAAAAAAAATTTGTGTGCCCTGGCCGGTTTGGCTCAGTGGACAGAGTGTCGACCTGTGGACTGGGGGGGTCCCGGGTTCGGTTCCGGTCAAGGGCATGTACCTTGGTTGTGGGCACATCTCCAGTTGGGAGCGTGCAGGAGGCAACTGATCGGTTTCTAACTCTCTATTCCTCTCCCTCTCTGTAAGAAATCAATAAAATATATTTAAAAAAAATTTGTCATGCCTTTTTAAAGAATATATATTTTTGTTGATATCAGAGAGGAAGGGAGATAGAAACATCAATAATGAGAATCTTCCAGCACTGCCCCTCCCCCCCCACCTGGCAACTGGGGATTAAGCCTGCAACCCTGGCATGTGATTCCTATGGTTGATATAATATAATTGTCCCTTCGTTCCTTTTTTTGTGGTTGTTTATGTAGGTAAACCGCTGGGCTGTCTGTCATACCTCTTTTATCAGGATGCCTTTAACTGCACAGACCAGAATATTAGCCTGACTATGGTATTTAATTATCTCAAATAACACAAAACCTAGATGAGGCAGCCAAGAACTTTTGCTGCTCAGTGATGTCAAATGTTGTCAAACGATGTCAGCACCTTAGCAGTTCTTTTAGCTTTTCCTTCATGGTCACTGTGACTGCTGCACCTCCAGGCCTCAGGTCCTGACCTCGTAGCCCTGACATGGGCATACACAATCCCTTGCACCTGAACATGCAGTTTTTGTGCCCTGCTGCCCTGACACTCAGACCTGATGTAGCATAGTCTGCCTGGAGCAGTGCAAGTAGGATCTCTTTACCCTACCTTCTGAGAGGCAGGTGGGCACAAGGCTGTCCACTCTGTGGAGGACATGATGGGATGCGTGTTTGAATGTTTTGGAGACAGGTCAAACAAAATTGGTCCGAAGTTGCTGAAACTGGCAGGTGCCTGGGATTCATTAGGTTTTCTCTACTTTTGTATTTGAGATATTCTATTTTTTTAAAAAAAGGACTCAAACCCTTATACTGTTCTGTTTCTCAGCTCTACCTTCCATCTCATAGGAGCTATCAGACATCCACCAAAGTCTCTCTCTTAGCTAGGCTCATAACAAACACCACAAATGGGAAGCTTAATGGACAGCAGATCTATTTTCTCAGTTCTGGAGGCTGCAAGTCCAAGATCAAGGCAGCAGGAAGGTTGATGTTGGTCAGAGTTCTCCCTTTGGGTTGTAGATGGCTGTGTGCTCACCTGACTTTCCACTGTAAGGTGTTGGGGAGAGAGAGCTCTGGTGTCTTCCTTTTAATTCTCTACAGTCCCATTAAGGGTGTGGGATTCAGCCTAAGAATATTTTTGGGGGGGGGAGGGGGATTTTCAGTCCATAACACTCACCTACTACCAGAATAGATTGTGCTAGGCATGTCACTGCCCTGCCAGAATTCATTTCCCAGCCTCCATTGCAGTTAGATGTGTCTAGGTGTCTAAGTTACCGCCAATGAAATGTGAGAAGTGGCACGTGCTCCTTCAAATAGCAAACTGAATGCTGTCCCTATTCCCTGCCCTGCCCTGCCCTCCTTGCAACCCAGCCTTGACCATGAAGGTAATGGTGAGGCCCTTTAGGAGCAGACACCACTTGGAAGGAATCTGGGGTCCTGTGACCCCATGGGCATAGCTGTCTGCCCCTGGACAATTACATAAGAAATAAAACTTTTTTTCTAAGCCACTGGATTTGGTTGGGTTTCTTGGTTAGAGTAGCTTAGCCTTCCCCTAAAACTCTAGCTCTCAACTGAGCACTTTTTTTTTCTTATTAATCCTCACCTGAGGATATTTTTTCCATCGATTTTTAGAGAGCATGTAAGGTGGGTAGAGGATGCTGCTAAACAGCCTACAAGACACAGGACAGCTCCACAGCAGAGTATCAGGCATATGTTAAGTGTCATAGTGTTAAGATTGAGCAACCCTGCTCCAGAGTGTAGAGCAATGAGAAGAAAGTAAGGGAGTCGGCTCTCATTTGGCAGCTTCTAACAAACTGCTACCTGGGAAAAGTTATTTTCAGTATCTGATATATGAAGGGCACAATATGTGAGTTATTCTCTATAATAATAATAATAATAATAATAATATTTGTAGATGAGAACAACAAATAGCCAACAAATATGTAAAAATATGTTTAGCCTCACTTAAAATCAAAGAAATACAAATTAAAACACCGAGGTGGATTTTTGATTATCTCCTTTTCTATCATGTTAGCAAAGATAAAGCCTGATGAAATCTAAGGTTAACAAAAGTGTGGAAATATCCTTAGTGGAGTGTCAGTTCGTTTAAAAGTATCAGCACTTAGAAAATACAATACTCTGATCTGGCCGGCTTGGCTCAGTGGATAGAGTGTTGGCCTGCGGATTGAAGGGTCCCA